TGAGCAAGGACTTTAAGGATCCAGTTCACATCAGGTTTTCCTCAAGGAAATTTTATTGATTCAGTGGAATCGCTGCTTATACTTCTGAACCTGTGACGATCAGGACTGGGTTCTTAATATGTTCTCTCTTCCATACAAACAAGAAATGGGTGGAAATGTTCCTGCAAGAGTCTAATATCAAGTACTCTCCTGAAGATAGTGGGGGTACTCTTGGTGAGGATTTAGCACATGCAAGAAGAACTCTTAACTTTGTCACCTTAACTATTTGTCTATCCCTTGCAAACAAATAAAACATACAGGCAAAAATGAAGTCTTCCAATACAACTGTGTCCAATACACGTGGCGCAGCAAAGGTACCTGAAAGCCCTACTCTTCACTCAAAAACAGGCTAGAGTCCCCAAAAGAAGAAACAATCGGCTAGATTGTCAGGGATATCAGTCTCAAATCCCCCATAATTTCCGTTGAAAACACTCTGCATTTCTGACAAATCTAATGCTCCCGTCCTGTAGGGTGCGTTAAGTCTGCCTGAGAAAGCTCAGCAGCCTTTACCCAAATTACTTGCCAGGAGCAGTTTGTTAAAGCCAAACTGATCTCAAATTAAGGAAATTAATTAGAGCAAAAAAAGGAAAGAAAACAAAATCCACAGTAATTTCCACAGTTACATTTCTTATATGACTACAAATTAATACGTCACCTGCACTACGTATCGCAAGTTTCTTTGCCTGTCTTGAACTTCTTTCTTTAATAAACAGCTGCATGTAGTGGAGGAAATATGTAAACATCTCCGTTGTCTCTCTGTGTTATTGTGTCAGCTACTCTGCATGTCTTTGAAGGTGCTCCAAAATCAGCATGGCTCTGCATTTCCCTTTTTTTTCTTTTCTTTTGGGAGGAGGAAGAAGCAGCGGACAGGCTGGCAGGAGAGGGCTAACTCTGTGCTTGCTGTGCTCTTGACAGTAAAGCTAAGATTGTTTAAATTCAGTTTACATAGACTCTTCTGTAAGGACAAAGGAAATCACTGCTGGTGGTTAAAAATGCAAAAGGTTTTGATTGTAATGGCTTGACAATCAGCCAGAGATATGACTGGGGGGAGGAACACAGCAAGACAGCTATGACCAGAATGGAAGAAACAAGGAAAAACACATGGCTTGACTTCAGAGCAGAAAATTGACTTTGGTTTTGCATAAACGAGAGCATACCTCCAAGCCTGCCTGATCCACAGTCTTCCTGGAATAAGAACATGCAGTCTAAAAGCAGAGCCTATTAAAAGGCATAATGTTTCTAAGCAGCATCTGTTACGTACTAATAAGCATTACTTAAAGGACACAGGCCTTAAATTGCTACCAAACGTGCACTTATCTGAAACTGCTGCAAGGCAATCATTACAAACATGTCACATGACACCATGGGAATCTGAATATTATAAAATGTTTTTATTTAGTTTGGCTTGGAATCATTACGCAGGAAAAACATGGAGGCACTTTCTGAGATTCTGAAACTGTGGAACCTCACAGGAATGAAAGACTAGCAAGAATTACATCAGCGGAGCCATTTGCCATCTGTTGTCAGTAATACTATAAAGACCAGTCACCAGACGACAGTTTCAAAGGTTACAAACACAACGTTTTTAAGCATCCGCAGGCCTCTCAGTAACTGAGCAGGACACGGTTTACTTTGGATGCGTGTGGCCTGAGGGTGTGCCAATCATTTTGCAAGGACAACATACAACAACTGTGAACTGCCGCTAGAAATGCTTGGGACTCTCTTGTTTTGCCACCGTTATACAGCGTGGAAAACACATACTACTAGCCTGCTCTACATAGGTTCTTATGCCATACTCATAACCGTAACGTCTGCGCACCTCCCCACTTGAAAACTGAAGCAGTAAGCTAGCCTGGGTTACTCGTTCTCTCATGCTCTCCCCCAAGGGAAGGAGCGTGTTCCCTGCTTCACTATGGAAAAGGACTCAGGTCTCTTCAGCAGGTTTTGGAATGTCTTTTTTTCTTTGAGGGAAGTAGCTTAAAGGAGTTAGGATTTCGTTTCCTGCTTTCCTTCCTTCTAAAATAAATATGTATTTACGCTCTAAAGAAGCAAGGTTACAGTAACATGCCTTGCATATGGCATGGAAAGTGAGGTTGTTTATTATAGTCCTTAGTTTTTAGAGGCGTACATTCCTCACTGAGCAAAATTCTACCTGTCACATAGATAAGACATAGATAAGAGCTCAGTTACAATGAAGGAGCGTAGCTCTTGATCAATCTCGTCCTCGAGCTTTGAGGAGGCTTTTCTAGATTTTGGGGCCACATCATGATATACAGTGCATCTATGCTATCAGAATGTTGAGTTCCTACCTACTGTGCTGCAGATCTCATGCGTGTAAGCTTAGCTGATTAACGTGGCTTTCATGGAGGGTGGGGACGGAGGTTTCCTGGAGAGGCAGATGGAAATTTAAGGCTCCATTACTGCAATTGTTAAACTAGATGTACAGGTTTGTCATCTGGTAACTAATTATTTCCCAGGCTCCAGAGTCATGTAAGTGCTGTAAATCACTGAAATGTCCCTCCTAGCCTTGCTGCTAGATGGTGAACAAATCTGACTCTGCATATGCTCTGAAATCAAAAAGAACTTGTGACAACGCTGGATTTAAAGCAAGAATCCCAGCTTCTAGGTCACTGGCTTAACTGCTTCTCAACAGTAGAGTTTGCCTAGGACCTACACAGGAGGTTAGAAACCCTGCAAGTTTATGCAATCTTGTTTTGTGAAAGGCAGTTTACAGGAGTAGACCTCAAGGACATGCAGAATTGCAGCATCTCAGTTACAGAAGGACATAAACTGAAAAGCGCCATTGGCACCAGAAGAGCTAAGACCTGGCTCCACTATGCTTTTCAAGCTCACTATGTATTCAACCTATTACCAATTGCTACATAATTAGTTCAAACATAGGGATACCCATTAAATAACTAAGCCTAAATTTAGACAATACCTAAAAACAATGACATCCGTTCCAAAAGAGGAAGAGAATGGGAAGAGAACTATTCTAAACGCTCAATTTCAGGTCAATGAAAAAGTCAGGAAAAAAATAAAACGTACACAGTACCTGAAGTGCCAGCAATACAATGTTTGCCTAGACACAAAAAAAATCAAGTCTCATTCATCTAGAGATATTTTATTCAAAAACATAAGCAGAACTGAGAGTCTTCCAAAGAAAACCCAATAGCATTATTACAAATGTTTGACTTTCGTAAGTGCCTGATAGGAGGCAAAAAATAGAGCAATCTGACTACAGCGCATTTAGCCACGAGCAGCTAGAGGAACTAACGAGCATCATTTTTTTACTGAAGGGGATGAAGTAGGTGCTTTAGACAAACGGCAGCAACTTAACACGCGTTTCAGAAGATAAATTCACTTTCTCTCCGTTTACCTGCTAGCATGACAAATTAAGAAAGAAGAGTACAAAAACGGAACAGGAGGGAAAGCAGTGTAAAAGCTAACTGAGGTGATGCAACAGGCCCTTATCTAAACAAGTGCGTGAACAGAGATTTTTGGAAGCGCTCCTAGTCAAACATGAACCAGGAACACTATGCATGCCTGACTCCCTTGGAAATCCACTGCTGAGCGTGTGCATGAGACCCACCTCTCCTAAAATCAGATACCGTACCAAGCACCGAGTGTTAGGAGGGTGGTTGTTTGACTACTAACATAACATCTATCTTTCTATCCCTTTCAAAGCACTAGAAGTCCACCACATAGCGAATGGCTGAGTTCTCCCTGTTGGCCTCAGCTTGGTAGAGCAGCTCTTTGCCTACTGCCAGAAACACCAGTAAATTAACTCCTGCTGTTGGGTAGGTTTTTTCCTAAAATACATGTTGAGAGAGCATTCCAAAGAAAGGGCAAGTACTCTGCAATACAGGAAGCCTTTTATACCTCCTCTCTACACCAAAGTAATCCAAGTAGTTATTTTTTTCTGGTCAAGAGGCAACATATTTATTGCTCCCTTTCTCCCTGTTAAACCACATTTTAGCGCAACCCAGGCAAACAAGTCTTTAAGACGAAGCCTGAGCTTTAGACTTAAAGACGTAAAGGTATTTTGACACAGCATTCCCTCTGTTCCTCATGAGCTCTCAAATACGTATCCATTAAAATAAAAAAACCTATCCTCTATAAAGACACAACTCTAAATCCACCCTGGAAACAGGTGTTAGAAGATGAGCCCGTTTACTAGCATC